GCTCAAGTGGTAGAGCGCGCTAGCCTTGAGCTGAAGAGCTGAGGGACAGCGCCCAGGCCCAGAGTTCAGGCCCCACGACTGGACCCAAAAAAAAAAAAAAAAAGAAACTCAGGGTTCAAGCCCAGGATGGACAAAAAAATAAAACAAAAAAACCAATGAGTTCTGGCCTCAGATTTTTCCTTCTTCATTTCTACAAGTGATTGCAGCCATGTTATATAACATCCCTTTTTTTCTTATGACCAAACAGCCTTTACCAATTTAGCTTTTACAAAGAATTATTCCTCACCTGCTGGCATACCAAAATTTGAATTTCTCACCAGAAAGGTATAGCTTTTGTGTTGGGTATGTTGTACATTTTAAATGAAATATTTAATTTTAATATATTTCATTTATTTATTTTTTGCCAGTCCTGGGCTTGAACTCAGGGCCTGGGCTCTGTCCCTGAGCCTCTCTATGCTCAAGGCTAGAGTTTTTCCACTTGAGCCACAGCACCACTTCCAGCCTTTTCTGTTTATGTGATACTGAGGAACACAGGACTTCATGCACGCTAGGCAAGCACTCTATCATGAAGCCACATTCCCAGCCCCTAATATGTTTTTAAATATACCGCAAGGTACTCTAGCACAAAACAGCAAATATTTAGTCAACAAAATTTACAAAATGTTCTAGGTAAAGGAATAGATACCCCCCTCTGAGCTAAGATGAATCTTTTTTTTTTGGGGGGGGTTCAGTCGTGGGGTCTGAACTCTGGGCCTGGGTGCTGTCCCTCAGCTCTTCAGCTCAAGGCTAGCGCTCTACCACCTGAGACACAGCACCACTTCTGGCTTTATTCTTTTTGCTTATGTGGTGCTGAGGAATCGAACCCAGGGCCTCAGGCATGCAAGGCAAGCGTTCTACCACGAAGCCACCTTCCCAGCCCCTGAATCTTTTCTTTTTTAATGATAGCTATTTTGTCACAGCAATGCTGACGCAGCCAACATTGCCACATTTTTAAAGGGAGAGGTTAAGGGACCAAATAGCCATAGGAGGACAGAACCTACTTTTCCTGATTACCGATGACAACAATTTTAAATTCTCTACCTTGAAGACACACTTCTGTTTTAGTACTTGTGTGAGGGATAGAGAAAATGCAGGACTAAAATACACTGTTTTTGAACAGTGATCTGGTTCTGTGAGCTCACCTTGTTGATCAGCATCAGCAGTTCGTGAAACAAGCGCGCTGACCGCTGGGAAGGTGATACTGGACATGGCTGCCACTGCTCCGGCAGCCCACATCATCCTGTAATAAAGTAACAGTGTAAAGATAATGTACCTGTTGGAAGCCAATCAGAGTCAAAAGCTAATCTTACTGTGAAAGGGCTGAAGGACAGGAAGGAACTATGCTTACTCAGTTCCTTCCTGGGCAACTCAGCAAGTGATTTAAAAGTCTAATCTAGTTTATTCTCAAAACCAGGAACAGCTACTTATTCACAACCATTTGGGATATTGATATAAATTTGGGGTAAGTATTCTGAGCATTAATTTTGCAGAAAGTTGCAAGGAAATATAAACACCATGTATTCTAAGCAGCTGAAGGCAACAAGCCTTCTGACTTGTGATTTGGTGTAAAGATACTACTGATTAGAGCTAATCCTTAAATTGTAAAAATAAATGTAACCAGGATGCACTGTGAGTAGTGGCTTCATGTTGAAAAGGAATGTTTAAAACAATGTTAAGCTGTGAGCGGCTTTGTAAAAGATGAGACTGAAAAAACACCTCCCAAGTGCTTTGTTTGTTAGCAGAGAAACGATACTGGAGTTTAGCTCAGGGCCATGGGTTGGCTAAGAGAGATGCTCTACCACTTGAACCACCTCCAACCCCCCCAAGCCATCAGCTCTGCAGGCAACCAAACTGGGAAAGCTGGACCTAAACGAATGGACTTTGTTCACTTCTTTTTCACCATCAGTTAGGATCAATTGTTTCTCTAATCAGACAGGAAGGCCAAGAAGGCCAAGATCAGGGCCTTTTTTCAAAATTAAAGGCTCCTTAGAGATTCAATCTGCTAGTCATAGAACTATAAAAATGCCATTCCCTCCTAGTCACTCTAGGAGAATACACACACACACCAGTGTGAGAATGTTATTCATGTTTTGAAGATAAGGAATGTCATGAGACAGTTAAAAGTCTTTGCTGTATTTGAGAAGCATATGAAAGAGGAGAGCTGGTAATGCACACCTGTAAGCCCAGCATTGCAGAGCAGACCCAGGAGGATCTGCCTCAATTATTTTCTATCTTTTCTTTCCCCCCTCAGAAAAAGACAAATAAAATTAAGAAAATGAACATGTGTAATACTTACCAAGGTTCTGAACCAAAGCCATACCATGCCAGTTGTAATATTTGAAATCCCAGACCCAATAAAATGGTATTTTTATTTCCAATTGACCTCATAAGTAAACTCAAGACTATAGTCTAGGAAAAAAAAAAAAAACAGAAAAAATTGTCAGTATAATTTTTCTTTCAGTTTAAATAAATACTTGGTGCTTTTCATCACTAATGGAGCTTTATTACTATTGTTCTACAATTTGATTTTTCAGTAACAACTTTCCTGAATCTGTGGTCACAGTTCTAGGCTGATAGAGATTCAGACTTAAGAGGGTCAGAAAACTTTTTATTCAGTTCAACTGAGGACCAGTTGAATCAGAAGCTGCAAAGAGTAAGCACAAAAGTTTGTAGCTAAAGATTTGGCCATCCTTGTTATGTAACAGAGGTAGACATCTTTATCCCTGAGAGTACTTTTAATCAAAAAAGTGGATTCCTTTAGCGCTTTTAGAAACTGATAAGGCAAAACATTTGTTCTTACCATTGTTAAATACATCTTAGAAAGATGTATTAAAATGCCTGCCCCTTGAGCAAGGAACCATTCCAGAATGCTAGAACAACTCTTCAGCCTAGATCTTGTCACCAAATTGCTTATAAAATGCAGTGGCCTCATAGCTCTCCATCCAACTTAGCTTCGATTAGGTACAGAATTCAGTATTCTTCCTTCTTCAGGAAACTATCCATGTGCACGTGTAAATTCAGTTTTTAGACAATGACTCAGTGATAGGTTCAAGCTCAAGCACCAACCAAATAAAAATCCCCTACCCCCATTTAACAGATGGTAACTAAAACAAAAGGTAAACAATTTCTTAAGACAACAAGGTAAGTCATTAAAACTGGAAACAATTCGGAAATACCTACTGCCCTCCCTCCCTGGGGTCCTTACCCTGTGTGCAGTTAGTATAGCTTATAGGCTGCTCAAACCTGTCAGTCCTTCCCACACCCTCCTCTGTGTTCCAGACACCTAAATCTCCAGACATTCTAGCTAGGACATCAAAGTTCTTAAAGAGACTCTCAAGGCTTTTATTTACCTTTGTGTACCCATCACTTAGTTCTTCATAAGTATTTATGCAAGGTACGCATATCTGAAAATATCATAGTGTTCTCATTTTAACAATGGAAAAATTTACTCTGTAGTGTGCCTAACAAAGAAAAAAATACTCTCCAGTGTGCCTTAATTTAATATATCTCTCATTTTGAAGATGAAAGGTTACATGACTCAATCAAGATGAACATAAACACTGATAGCAGCTTGGCAGTGGTTACCTAACATTAGCAATGGTCAGTCACAAATATTTGATAAGTTCCTATTACTTCTAAGTCTTATGCTAGGTTTGAGGATAGGCTTATAAATCAAAGTACTAGTCAGCAAACAGACTGCTTTCTACTGGGGGCAGGTGGACTTGTATGCTAATTTCCTGAGTCATTTTTGAGGTCCAAGCAGAATGGTGTGGAAAGATAGATCTGGGGGAAGAACAAAGGTACTGGACTGCAACATGCAGTGAACTCAATTCAGGTGCTTGCTAAGCTAGGCGCTCTCACCTCTTGAGCTACTCCTGAGCCATGCTACCACCATTTTTTAAACATGTTTATTATGTTTGAGTAGTTAAGGATTACCATTCAACAAATTCGTTTTAAAGTACAATACATCTTGATAGATGCCACCCCCATACCATACTACTTTTTAAACCAGTGACTCATTTAAGGACCTTCTAGCCTGAGGGTAGTACAGGATGCAAGGGTGAGGAAGATAAGCAATCTAGAGCTCCACTAGAGCTTACAAACTGAGGCAAAAAGAAGAAAAACCTAAGGAAAAGCCATCCTCCAGTGTTTGCCATATAGTGAGGAGACAAACTGGAGTTAGCAAGGACACAGAGGCACATCAATAAGCAAGCTAATAAGCACACACAGAAGCTCTGAGTAGGAGGAGCTACAAATAGCTTGTGCCACTGGAGAGAAGGAAAAGACCCTGGTCTTGTTGGCATCAAAAACTATACTGGGATATAAGTGAGAATACAAGTCTAGCCTCTCAACTTTGGGCTGTACATAATGTTTTAATAAATTGTATGACATAAATATATGTAATTATTGGCAGCCTAGATATGCTTATTCACTTGACTTTGAAGGCTAACTATTTTTCTCCCTTTTACTCTGATTTCTCATCTCAAAAACTGCTTCTAAGCTGGGTGCTGGTGGCTCACCCCTGTAGTCCTAGGTACTCAGGAAGTTGAGATCTGAGGTTTGAGGTTCAAAGCTAGCCTATGCAGAAAAAGTTCATGAGACTCTTCAACTGACCACCAGAAATCAGAAGAGGCTGTGGACCAAAGTAGTAGAGCACTAGTCTTGAGCAAAAAAGCTCAGGGACAGTGCAGAGGCCCTGAGCTCAAGCCCCACAACCAACAAAAAATAAATTAAAAAAAAAATCAATAAACTTGTCGGTTATGTGTCGCATATTAATGTGTCAGGATCAAACAATCTGTACTAACACACCTGAGTTTCTGAACCTCGGGACCTCAGACTCCTGACCTTAGCTACTCACCAAGACACAATTACTCTATGAGTTTACATCTGGACATCCAGCAACTATCACCCTCTATGACACTAAAAAGAAAACTTACCTGGGCAATAATAGAAAGAATGCCAAGGACTGCTATAAATGCTGCAACACTTTCTGGCGAAAATTTCATTATCTGTAAGGGTTCAAAATCAAGCAAAATTAATGACTGAGAAAGCATAAAGAATACCAAAATAGTGTTAATTACTTTTTTAATTCATTTTTTTTTTTGTCAGTTGTGGGACCTGAACTCGGTCTGGGCACTGTCCCTCAGATCTTAGCTCAAGGCTAGCACTCTATCACTTGAGCCACAGTACCACTTCCGCCTTTTTCTGTTTATGTGGTGCTGAGGAATTAAAACCAGGGCCTCATGCATGCAAGACAAGCACTCTACCACTAAGCCACCTTCCCAGCTCCCTTTAATTCATCTTTAACTCTCTAAGTCAATTCAAATTTTAACTCATAAACAAAGCTTTCTTTAGTAGAAACAATTTAACATAAAAGATACCTAGTTATATGTGGCAGTCCCCCTAATTTGCATATACTAAATTGGAGACAGCTATCAAGCATTCAGAATCATTTTACAAGTAAAACTGCAGCATCTGTGGTTTGCCTATCATTGATAAAGGTTTGATTTCAGTGTAGAAAGACTAGAGTTGAGAGAGAGAAACTTGTTTGTGAAGGTGATGCATCTTTTTGCCTAAGTTAAAAACATACAACATGCCAGTGGCTCTCACCTGTAATCCTAACTACTCAGGAGGATCACAGTTCAAAGCCAGCCCAGGCAGGAAAAGCTGCAAGTGGTGCTGTGGCAAGTGGTAATGTGTTAGCCCTAAGCAAAAAGCAGCTCAGGGACAGAGCCCAGGCTATTCAAGCCCATGACCAACAACAAAAAAAAAAGAATGAAAAAATGTAGACAGGGCTGTAAGTGTGGTAGGGTGCTGGTCGCTTGTCTAGCTGGCAAAGAAACATAAGTAGTATCAGGCACACTAAAGAGAAAGTCCAGTTGGCTATTGCTTACCAAATGGTCATCAGATTAAAGCTTTCAGAGATTATTTTTCGAACAGTACAAAATGAAAGAAAAGTCCACTTGTATGCAATAGGATTTTACCTGTCTGAGGTATAAAAAAAAGCTTGAATATTGGCCTGCCTCCGGTAGATAGGAGAGAAATACCGTGATGCAGATCAGCAGCACTATGGAATCTTGGCCCACTTTTTTTAAGGACTAGAAACAAGAAAAAGAATGACATAAGGTTTTATGTAAAAAATGTAAACATTCTTGATATATGAAGACATTTCTTTGGTACTGGATACAGACAACTACTGGCCCTTTTATTTTATCCTCCCCAAACTATTCTGAAAAGTCTTTTAAAAAGGGAAGGGGAAGGGGGAAAGAAAAAGAGGGGGAGGGGAGGAAAGAAAGAAGAGCAAGGAAGGAAGAGGGAGGGAAGGAGGGAGGAAAAAGAAACCAGCTGGATAGTAGCTCACACCTGTAATTTCAGCACTCAAGAGATGGAGGGATTACAAGTTCAAGACCAGTATAGGCTACATAATAAGGCCCTGTCTCAAAAACTGTCAAGATGTTTTCTTCAAGGACACCCACAGCAAAACATTAACACTACATGGAATCACGTTTTCATGTTTTTGGTCAAGAAATGTAAGAAAAAGAAACTTACTGCAAAGGGGTCAGCCTGTTCCCAGGAAATGGGTGCGCCCCACGATGCAGGCCGCATCTTTTCAGGCAGCGACTCTGGCACAGCAACAAGGATAAAACAAATATCTAGCAAAGCTATGGCTGTCGCTAGAACCACCACTAAGCTGTCTCCATACACTCGTCCGAGGTAAGCTCCAATCGCAGGGCTGGTAACTAAACTTGCAGCAAACGTTGCTGAAACCTGCAACCAATTAAGAACAAAGAAGAAGAAATTAGTGAGGAGAGTTCAACTCCCTTAACTATGCCCAACCCCATATCAAGTCACAGCTGCTGCTACAGCCTGTCCTGCAGCGACCTGGGCCACTCTTATTGTCCCTTTTGCAGGAAGACACAAAGATTAGATTGTCTATAAATATATAATATATAAAATAGACTCTCAGGACAGTGGCTTCAAATTCTTTTAAACCTTGGGGCTCTCTGTGCAAATAAATCCTATGGGTAAATCTTGGGTAAGACAGATTTACAAAAAAAAAACCCAAAACCCAAACCCAGTTTAGCAAAAAATTAGTTTAGCAAAAATTAGGGGCCAGTCCTGTGCAAATATCCCTCCCATTAAGTCAGGCTGATGATGCTTAGGGACCCCAACAAATCTGTGTGTTCAGTCACCCTGTATCATTTAATGTTCTACATTTATAAATGAAACCACTAGAAGTAGTGGTTAACAAGCTTCTCTGTATAGGTTATTTTATACATAAAATCCTGTCTATTTCCATAACTGAATCAAGAGATTGCATACTTTTTTCCCCCCTTAGTACTGGGGTCCATACTAAGGACCTTGCATTTGCTAGGGCCCTCTATTACTTGAGACATGCCCAGTATTTTGTCCATTATTATTATTGCATCTCCACTGGAAAACATAGCACTTCTATTGAGTGACTATGACATCCCATGGAGAATTTCAATCTTTGGTCCAAGTGTTAAGAGCTCTGGGTTGCAGAATCCTACAAGCCCTCTTTGAAATAGCCTCTGCTTTAATTCTTTTTTGGACAGATTCTTATGTTTTTGCCTAAGGCTGGCCTTGGACTGTGATCTTCATACCTATGGTCTCTGGCATAGCTGAAATCACAGGCACATATCATCACATCTGGTTTCTTGAGATGTCTTACTATTTGCCTAAGCTGGCTTTGAACCTCAATCCTTCAGACTAAGTGGCTTATGTTAGCTAGGGCTAACAGACAAAATTTATAATGCCTGGTCTAACTCATAAGTTTTTATGAAATCAGTTTGATATGGTATTTGGCCCGTTATTTATTAAGACGCATATAGAGTATTTTCTCTCTGTCCTACTTCAAATTAATTATGTATTACTGTACTTATGAGAACCATTCCACACCTAGATTTGACAGTATATCTATCCAGTGTCTTGTTGCAAAATGATTACAAGTGACAAACGGAGCTATGAATCGAGCTAAGCATTTTTTTTTGGGGGGGGGG